CCCCCCCCCCCCCCGCCTTCCCTGTACAGCCAGCCTGCCACAAATAATCCCAGAGGGGCGTGTCTCCATGCAAGCTCAGGCCTGAAGCCACAGCCACCTGGCCTGGACACAGGCCTGACAAAGGGGCGTGGCGTGGGGGCTCCGTCAGGGCCAGCAGAGGGGTCACTCAATGCGTGCATCTCACAGAGGATGCTGAGAAGGGAGCTGTGGCCGGGTGGGCACCGGCTGGCAAAGAAGAACAGAGGCTTGGCCAGGCCTGGAGGCCCCACCACCAACGGCCAGCAGCCCCAAGCCACAGACAGCAGAGGTGGTGGCCCCGGGGCCTGCCAGGCTGCCTGTGACCCCCTCTTCACAGGAAGTCAGGCGCAGCTCTGGGGGGGGGGTGCCCAGGCCGCTGCTCCTCCCTCCAGGATGTCCACAATACAGGCTTTACAGCTTTCTCTCGGCCACAGGCCTGGGTGCCACCTGGCAGTGGCCCAGGCCTCCGCCCTCCGCCCCCCCCCCAGCACAAAGTGCCCAGTGTCTGGCTGGGCCTTCCCACAACTCCACCCTCCACTCCTCTCAGCGCACTCCCTGCACTCGGGCAGAAGCAGTTCTCAGAAAGGACCAGTATGACCAGACATCACACAGCAAGGATGGTAGCAGGGGACTGGCAGGGGCTCCCAGAGCCTCAGCACCCAGGGTGTAGCCCCTGCCTGCCGAGGCACAGTCCCAGCAGGAAGAGGAGGGGACAGCAAGGTCACAGGTTCTAGGTCAGCCTGGCTGCGCAACAAGACCATGCCTCTAAATAAATAAAGTAAATGAAATTAAACGCAGCAAGGTGAGGTGGAGAGGACCCATCTGCCCTTCTCCCTGGCTGGGCTCCCCTTCTGCTTCTGTGTCCCCTCCCCATGGCGGCAAGAACCAGGCCCCCTGGTAGGGTCACACAGGCTGCCACCAAGCAGCCACGGCCCAACAGGACAGCGTGCACACATCTCCACGGCTGGAGTGCCTGGCTCCCCATGTGATCCAGGGTCTCTGTGATGAGGGTGCTCCTGCAGGAGGCTGAGCCCATGCCAGGGTCAGAGCCCCCTCCCCGCTGGGGGAGGGGGACCAGGAATTGGAAGGCAAGAGAGCAGAGCATAAGACTGCTGCACGTGGCAGCGTGGCAAATGTGTCTCACAGTTACGGGCACAGGCCTGTCCCTGCCACCAGATGGCCATGGGGAGACGGCAAGGAGGAGATGACCCCTACTCATTTTTTGGGGGGGTCCGGTCGTGGGGCCTGAACTCTGGGCCTGGGCGCTGTTCCTCAGCTCAAGGCTAGCGCTCTACCACTAGAACCACAACGCCTCTTCTGGCTTTTTTCTTTTTGCTCCTGTGGTGCTGAGGAATCGAACCCAGGGCCTCATGCATGCAAGGCAAGCGCTCTACCACTGAGCCACCTTCCCAGCCCGACCCCTACTCATTTTTAAAAGCAGAGTAGCCCTGTCACAAGCTGTTGGCGTGCACACCGCACAGCCAAGCACCTGGCCAGGCACAGCGGTGAGCCTGTAAGTGCCAGCCAGCCTCCCACACAGCAGAGGGTGTGTGGGAGAGAGGAGCTCCCTGAGGAGGCGACATTTCAGCCCTGGCACATACAAAGTGAAGAGCCCTCCTGGCAGCACGTGCCAATGCCCAGGAGTTGGAGCAAAGGCACAGCACGGTTAGCAGCTGCTTGCAGGCAAGTTTATCTGGAAGAGGGACAAGGGGATGGTGACATTACAGAACTCTTGTTATCAGGCTGTGAAGTTGGCTCAGTGGTAGAGTGCTCGCCTCGCATGCCTGAAGCCCTGGGTTCGATTCCTCAACACCATAAAGACAGGAAAAGCCAGAAGTGGCGCTGTGGCTCAAGTGGTACAGTGCTAGCCTTAAGCTGAAGAGCTGAGGGACAGCACCCAGGCCCAGAGTTCAAGCCCCAGGACAAGAGAAAGAAAGGAAAAAAGGAAGAAAAAAAGAAGGAAAGGAAGGGAGGGAGGGAGGAAGAGAGGGAAGGAAGGAGGGAGGGAGGGAGGGAGCGGGCTGAGGTTCTCACAGCACAGGAGCAGAAGGGAGTGGATGGGAAGGGAGAGGATGGGTTCCCCGAGAGGCCCTGCTTCGCTAGCACACAGGCACAGGGTCTGAGGAGACGGTGGGACCTGGGTGCCCGCTGGGGAGGAGGAGACCCGGAGACTTCGGGAGGACCAGGAGCCGTGCATGGAGAAGGCACGTCAGTCTTGGTTGAGAAGCAGCAGCCTTCCAGGCCCTCCCCGGGTCTACCACATCCTGCTCTTCTGTGTGTCTCAGTTTCTCCACCTCCGGGCACAGGGCCTGTGATGGTGGCCCGTCCCATGGTGTCCACGAAGTGCTGGGCCTTACTCCCAAAGGACACCGGGCTAAGACCCCGACGGAAGGGTCGCTGTCAGATCCCACACCACACACACCAGACCCCCCCCCAGACCTCAGTTCCCCAGGACCCCCAAGCAGACCATGAGCACCGGGAGCCTCACAATGTCATCAGACACCCTGAAAGCCCGTTAGAGGCCATGCAGGCCTCTAGGTGACGGGCACGTCTGGACAGCACTCAGGACACTGTCCCCGCCTTCCTCCCAGGCCCCGCCCCGCCCAGGCCCCGCCCCTGCCCCACCCAAGCCCAGCCCCCGGCCCCGCCCCTGCCCCACTCACAAGAGGTCCCGCCGTGCAGTCTTGCAGACGATGCGCAGGAAGCGCCAACCGCCGCTGCCTACATACACGCCGAACGCGGCTGCCGCGCTCCAGGTCCACGGCAGCCCCAGCAGCCACAGCAGCGCCAGCGAGGCCACGGAGGCCGTGCCCGCTCCCGGGGCCCGCATCCTGGGGAGGTAGAGTGCGGAGGCTGCGGCCGCCTTGGCTCCGCCCTCAGGGAGAGCCCCGCCCCTCATTGAGCCCCGCCCACGGACCACGCCCCCCAGTCCCAGCTTGCCACAGGGTAAACCCGGCTATTCCCCAGCACCTCCCCACTGGCTCCCCACTCGCCAAGGCTTCTACCCATTGACCACGCCCCCAGGCTGAGCCCCGCCGGCTCCGCCCCTCCCGACCCACTGGCCCCGCCCCCTGGCCTCGCCTCGCTTGCCACGCCCCCAGGCTGACCCACTCCGCTGGCTCCGCCCCGCTGGCTCCGCCCCTCCCGACCCACTGGCCCCGCCCCCTGGTCTCGCTCCGCCGCTGGCCTCGCCTCGCTTGCCACGCCCCCAGGCTGACCCACCCCGCTGGCTCCGCCCCGCTGGCTCCGCCCCTCCCGCTCGCAGCCAGGCTCCGCCCCAGGTTGGGACGGCTCCCCGCGGAGAGCCTGCTCTCCCGCCTTTGCTGCTCTGCTCCTAGCCAACCATTGTAATGGGATGCGCCCCGACAGCCCAGTCAAGGTCAGACGCCGCCCCCTCCGTAACCCGGCGGCTGGCTCGCCAGCAGTTCCACCTCCCCCCCACCCCGGTCCAGCCTGGAAGCCTGGGGGGCTCAGGCCCGTGACCTGACCCGCCTGGTTCCCGCGCTGCCCCCGGTCTGACCAGCCTCAGGTCCTGGGTTTTCCTCTAGAGGCCGTGTCCATCCCCTTTCGGGCCCTTTTCTGGGACCCGGCGCCCCGGTTAGGCCTCTAGCCGTGTCCCCAGCGCACGCCTCGACCCGGGAGCCCCGCCCTGCCCCTCGAGCTCCGACCCCTGCCGAGGCCTCGGGACAGGGTTCCAATCCACCCACTCCAGCCGGGCCTCGGGCCCGCGCTCCACCACCGCCCGGGAGGGGGCGGCTCCTCGGCTCACCTAGCACCCAAGCTCCGCCCCAACCACCCCAGCCCAAGGCCGACCTGTCCAGTTCCTAGCCCCTCTTCCGCGGAGCCCGGGCTGGCCCCCTTCGGGAGGCCATGACCATAGAGAGGGCTCCGGGACCAGAGAGCCGACGACCAACGAGACGCGGGGAGGCTAGAGCGGCCCGCCCAGGACAGCCGGCGTTTCCAAGGCAACCGCGCCCGGCCGCGCCC